TTCATTTATGTGATAGGTCTGCATTAAAAATAGACATTTACCATAAATTATAGGTATCTTATATTATTAGATACATTATTATAAAACATATTTTAGTTAAGGAGTTATTGATACTTCAAGTGCAAAATGATGATATAAAGCCTTGATAAAAAATACACTTTTAAGTACTAATCATCATGTCATTTAGCAAAGTTTATTATGTCAAGGTGAGAAGGTTTTATTAATGGTATTATGATAAGTATAACATAAACTCAATATAGACTTCAATTATTATATCCTAAACAACTTACTATTAACATGTCTTATTATTTTTATCTTATTAATTTTTAATACCTTGCTTGTTAAATGGTTAATCTAAATTTGTGTTGTATAACACTTGGTACAACAAATACTTAACACTTTCATAACCAATCGTATGGTATAATTTACACATGTGTCATGAAAAGAACTTGATTTGTTATTAATATAAGTTAATTAACATCATGATTTTCTGACAATATTTAAAAGTTTGGTGTTATTTAAATAAGATAATTAATATAATCATGTTAATAATTTATAATAAGTTATTGATGACAAATCATCCGATTGGAACCTCTTTTATCCGTAGTTTCTAGTTAAGTAATAAAAAGAGTTTATATTATACTTATTTAAAATATAATTAGTAGATCCTCTAACCTGACAACTGTTTTTATCATTATTTAATCTTCATATTAATCTTATATCTCAAAGTTCTTTTTAACTCATTATTATTATTTATAATTTATATAGTTAACCTTCCTGTGATTCAATCCTGGTCTTGCTGAGTTTTTTATTACTTTGACATTCTTGCACTTAGAAAAAAACATCAATTTTTTGGTCTTGTCAAGTAATGCATATGAGTACCATGTTTTGGCCACTTCTTTTAGTTTTTTACTAGATTATTTGCCTATGCTATGCTATAGGTTAAATCAGTTTTTTTTTTTCACATAAGAAAAATATCTTAGCATTATTAATGTTTTTTTCTAGTGAAAAAAATTTAAATCGCATGAAAGTTGATTTGATGTAACCCAGTCAACTTGATAGGTCAAAATAAAATATGGATAACTAGTAAATAATATAATTTAACTCAAAATAAATATTTAAGCTGACTTTATTTTTATAAATATTGAGACAACAATATATTAAATCAATTTGGGTTAACTTGTTAATTAGTATGCAAGATCATGAAACCACGATAACTCTATATAAAATAAATCAAAATAAATTATGAAACTCAATTTTTAATAAACCCAACTTAGGTAATAAGACTGGGATAACCTAGTACAAATTAAATTGAAATAAATTAGGGAGTTGAACGTCTTATTCTTATGAGTGGCCTATGTGAATATAAGCCAGGAGCAAGGATTCTAGAAAGTGGAGCCGGCTTAGGATCCAAAGACTTTCAAATCCAGTTCCAATCTGGATATAAAAGTGAAAAAATGATATCTCTTTTAATCCGGTCCACGATTCCCAATAAACCTAATATTAAAGGATGAAATTGAAAAAATAATTAAAAAAAGATACAAAAATAATTTAAGATAGCTTGGATTAATCTATCAAAACCATAACTTGAGTCATGAGATAAAGATATTCTCATAGAAAGCAAACTGTAACCTAATTATCAATCAATTTTTAACATCGAAGGATGAAATTTAGAAAAAAAATCAATTAAAAAATTGAGATAATTTTATAAAAAATAAATCAAAAAAATTATGATCATTAATAAATTTAATATGGAAGGATGAATTTAAAATTTTAAAAAATATAAATTAAAAAATTCAAATAAATAGTATTTCAGGAGAGAATTACATAACCCTCTCCTCTTCTATAATTTTTTTTTGTTAATTAATATTTATATTCCAAAATAAACATTTAAAAATTAAAACTATTGAAAATGTGATAATAAAAGAGCAACTGACATCTCGTTCGAAGCGAGAACACCATGCAGAAAAAATCATCCCGAGTTCTACATCCACCGTTAGATACAAACTGTGGCCTACACTTCGTTAATGTCACTGTCGTCTCACCCGGACACTCCCAAAAAAAAATCCGACACAACAAACAAATCTAGCCTCCATTCACCAATTCAAATAAATAAGATCCTACTATATGCTCCCTCGCCTCTCTCCTTTCCTCCGCAACTCTCCAATGGCACGTGCCGTTTCACGCGCCACCACCCCTCTCTCACTGCCTGCTCTCTTACCGGCCACAACGCTCTCCTCTCTCCACTCTCCTTTGAGTTTTTCATTCGCTCCTAAACCCAGCAATTTTAACTTCCTTTTGTTAACTAATACTGGACTCTTTAATAAAAAGTTCGAAACTTTTTCTCAAGAAAATTATAGGTGCACGGTTTGGGCCTCCCATAGAGGTTACCGGAAAGTCAGACGGCGGCCGGCGGCGGCGAGGAGGAGTAAAGAGAAGGATTTGGAGCTCAGTGTTAGCATTTGCATTGAAGAAGGCCTCCCTAATGACCCCGAAATATTGGTAAAGCAAACATCTTTCTCGTCTGTAGAGATAAATTTATGTGTTTTGATACTTGATAGGTGATCTTGACAAATGGGTTTTGTGTTTTGTTGTGAATGGTTGGTGTTACACAGAGTATAGCAGAATTGCTTAGACTAAATGTGCCAACGGCATTGAAGTTAGCATTTGATAGTTTAAAGAGTTCAACTTTTAAAACAAGGGATGAAACTATAACTGATATTGGTGGGTTTGACAGCATTGAGTTGTCTGTGATGCTTTGCAATGATGAGTTTATTAGAAAACTTAATAAGGAATGGAGGGATGAGGATCATGCAACTGATGTTCTTTCAATGTCACAACACGTGCCTGGCCTTGACCTACCAATTGTAAGTGAGAAATGCATAGTTTTAGTTATTTACAGGATTCTTTTGGAGTGTCAACATGGGTTGGTCACTCTTTGTTTTTTATTCTTTGCAGCTTATGTTGGGTGATATAGTGATTTCTGTTGAGACTGCTGCACGACAAGCCGAGGAAAGAGGACATACTCTTATTGATGAAACTCGTGTTCTCCTGGTTGGTGCAAATTTTACTTCAGTCTTCAATTACATGTTTTAGCATCTCTTTTTGGTTGTTATGATTTTTACACATAATTTGGATGTCTGTGCTTACTGTATTAGGGTAGTTGGTTAACTTGGTTAACTTCGTAATTTGTAGTTTGACTCCCTTGGTTACTTTACCACACTTGCAGGTTCATGGGTTGTTGCATCTTTTAGGGTTTGATCATGAACTTAGTGAAGAGGCTGAAGCTGAAATGGATAAGGAGGAGAGAGTTCTTTTGGAGAGTCTTGGCTGGAAAGGGAAAGGATTAATTCAGAGTGCATACGATGCAGAAACTACTATGAATCATCATATGGAAAGTTCAGATGGTAATTTCACTGTATTAATTAGAAAAAAAATTGCTTTCTGGTTTTGAGAGGATCCTACTTCTTGGATTTATTACATTTTTATTTATTTTGGAGCTAAAATGTGCTTTACATGCAAAGATATGAATACATGATCATGCAATGACATCATCTTACACTACTTTGTTAAAAGACAGGAAGAAAGAAGGCAGTCTTAGATTCTATAAACCAAAATTCAGCTATATCTTCTGCGATATGGATGGTGAGGTGATCCATACTTTTTGATGGGATATCCACATGTTTTGAACATTGGATTCTAACGTTTCCTTTGTCTCCCCACTTTCCTGATTGCTAGGAACGTTGCTGAACAGCAAAAGCCAAATCTCCTTGACCAATGCAAAGGCCTTGAAAGAGGCTTTGTCAAGGGGTGTGAAAGTGGTGATCGCGACTGGAAAAGTAAGAAACTGTGCAATTCTACCCTTTCATCTCTAGTTCATTAACTACCAGCCAGCACATTATTTATAGGCACATGCTTGACTTCTAGCTATGTTTTCCCATTCGTATGACCCTCGGATTTTAGTTTTCATTTTCTTTAATGGGTGCTGGATGTTACTGTTTGTTTTTAGTTTATCTATCCACTAAGCTGGGCTCCTCTTTATTATTTATTGTTCTTTCTTTGTTCTATTTGTTTCTTATCAGTTGCTTATCTTGCTGCTAGTTATTGATCTGAAATCTTGAATAGGCACGTCCTGCTGTGATAGATATTTTGAAGGCAGTAGATTTAGCTGGTAAAAATGGCGTTATCTCAGAGTTCTCCCCTGGAGTTTTCTTACAGGTTTTCCTCTATCTCTTCAAGGGTGTTTGGGATTGTGGTGCATGGTGCTTTTTAAAATTGCTTTTCACTTGAAAAATGCATCAAAATGATTTTTTTTCAGATTTGTTTTTTCATTTTTGACATCTACTCATTAAAACCATCAGAAAACACTAAAAACATCATCAATTTGATGCTTTTTTCAAGCTAGAAGCACTTTTGAAAAGCACCTAAAAGCAGAAGCTATGCCAAACACCCCCGATTCATCTAATCACCCTTTTGTGGTCATGCATTTTCTATTATGGATGTCATCAATTTAACAATTTTCAAGTTGTACATCATGAACAGAAAATAGTGTTCTCTTCTCGAAGACATTCTCAAATTGCTGGTCATATGCATGTATGAATATTCATTTTGTGCTTATGCTTGTACATGCAAGTTTTTCTTAAACTCAGCATGTTTGGAGCATCTTTATCTGTTGTGCAAAATTGACCTAGGGGTCCTATCTAGCTTCATGAAGATAATAAGAATGATAAGATTTAGCAGGTTTCTTTATTCTTCACTCCTTAAAGAAAAGAGCTTAGTTCTTCAGGCTTGAGGCTATTTCGTCTCTTTCTTCTTGAAACCAATCCTAAATTTGATGCAAGCCCAGGGGAGTTTAGGTATTCCCACTAGCAAGAGTTCAGGAGAGGCTTGCAATAGATTTAATGAACATTGGATTTCTAATGAACAAACTGGATCAGTAACAGTTAGAAGGTTTTTTTTTTAACAATCCGTACTTCATACACAGGATTTGTGTGAATTTAAGGCCTCTTACTCACAGGATTTCTTCTAGACATTTATTTGGCTTGAGTTGTTATCTTAGTATCATGAAATTGATGCATTGCAAACCTATAGAACCTTAGCGAGAAAAAAGGATTTGTCTTCTTAGGTATTGTTATACATGCTTTCCCCCCTATTATTTCTCTTTCCAGTTTTACATTTGCTTCTGCTATGCTTTAAGTTTTCCTTGGATATGCTTCCATCTTCCCCTATGAATATTGTTTTTTAAATAAAAGTAAGTCAATTTTCCCACTTTTCTGAATGCTGCAAAGCTTAGAGTTTCGTGCTAATATACTTTTGCTTCCATGGTATGCTGTCATGTTCAACCCCTAGATGACTCCTTTGTTGTCACTTATTGGTGGTCTCTGTTTATTTCAGGGGTTGATTGTTTATGGTAGACAGGGTCGGGAAATTTATAGAAGCAATTTGGATCTGAGTGTCTGCAGAGAGGTAATATTTCATACAGAAATGTCGTTTGGTAGCAATTGGATTTGAACTATGCATGAATTTTATCAGAACAGTGAAGAAGAGAAGGGGCCTTACACACACACACACAGACAAATATCTGCTAGATGATTGAACTTTTTTGTCTCCTGGTCACCTGGATCTGATATATTTTTCTGTTTCATTGTAGCTAGCAGCCACCTGTCACTGCTAAGTTGTCTAGGGCAGTTATTTTCTCTTTAGTTTTTCATAATGCCATCTGAGATTAGCTGCACACTGTTTATTTGTCCTAGTTTTGTACAGTTGAGTTTTGCCTGCCTGCTCTGTCCTGGATTGGATATTCCTGGCTCTCTGGTCTTTGGATGCTGTTGCAGCTGTAGAATTCCCTCAATTTTATTGGGGCTGCCCAACCTTTTCATCTAGGGAAGTCTTTAGTATCAAATTACATGTGTTTTCCATGCAACAGGCTTTCCCTTCTACTCCAGTTTGATTGACCATTTTTCAGACCATATTTCGATAATCTCACTCATCTTCATGTTAAAAGCAGCACTAAATTTTCCTCCCCTCTTCTAAAAAGTCCATACAGTCCATGTTCTTGATATAACTTGGTATAATGTTCGTAGAGCTTCCACAATATGATTGTCTTGCATTTCATATTGTTAATAAAGGAATCCACTCTTTTTTTGTAAAAAATAACATAGTAATCCACTCTTATTGGTGGCAGATTTTAACCAGTATGATATTCTTTTTTATGTACTGAAAAGAAAGAACCGAAGCTAAATGGCTTTACGTGGCATGCGGATCTCTTGGTTGTATTAAAGGATCATTGTTGGTCACTAAGTACTTGTTCTTGGTTTTAAAATTGTAGGCATGTCTCTACTCTTGGGAGCACAGGGTTCCTCTTATTGCATTCAGCAATGATCGTTGCTTGACCTTATTTGAGCACCCTCTAGTTGATTTACTGCATACTGTATATCATGAGCCAAAGGTGAATATTTTTCACTCTAGTAACAATTCTCTGGTACTGGCAGAGCACTTATTCCATATAGACACGATTTATGAGAAAATGTTTACAGGCTGAAATCATGCCTTCAGTTGAGCATCTCTTGTCTGCTGCGGACATACAGGTAAGCACAGATATGGTCTCATTTTTCTTTTTGGAGTATCAAAAGAAAAGTGGTGTAGATGTTTTGAACCTAAAAAGGTTGACATGTTTTTAAGGTGTGTGTTTAGCAGATGGTTTTAGCCATGATATCTTTTATTCAAATCAACTGAGTGGCAACTTTTCAGTTTTTTATAATGTCAATCTTTTATTTTTGTTATACCTCAGAAAATCATGGACATAGTTTGTCACTTATGATTGCATTCTTAAACAAACGGAAATTATTGATTCTGTCTTGTTTTCTTTATGATTTATTTGTTAAAAAACTGGGAGTTATGGATCCCACACTCTTCTTAAATGTATTTGTGTACCTTTATGCTTGCAGCTGTATATTTAAGCCCTAGAAAACTAGATCCTCTCTACCTTTGGTTTTGTTTATTTTTATAATGGTTCACATCTTTTCAATTTACAGAAGATGATCTTTTTAGACACTGCTGAGGGAGTGGCTATGAACCTGCGGCCGTATTGGTCAGAAGCAACTGGAGGCCGTGCCAATGTTGTGCAAGCTGTTCCAGATATGCTTGAAATTGTCCCCCCTGGAACCTCAAAAGGGAGTGGTGTAAAACTGCTGCTTGATCATTTGGGTGTCACTGCAAAGGAGGTATGGAAAGATATAATCTGTTCTGTATTCCTATTGTTTTTCATCTTGCCTTCTTTTCTTTTCAGAATAAATAAAATCTCTATAAGACTTGCAGTAGCTAGTGTTGGAGTCTCTCTTTTATTTACTTACTGTCATAGTTTCATATTCTTTCATTAGGAGAAAATGGTGAATGGCCAAACCTGTGACCACCTTATAGTTCTGAGTTTTGGTCTGACATGCCTGTTCTTTATACCATATTCTGGATTGTTTCTAATTTGTAAAATTTTAGATAATGGCTATTGGTGATGGTGAAAATGACATCGAGATGCTTGAGTTGGCTTCTCTAGGCATTGCTCTTAGCAATGGATCAGAGAAGACAAAAGCTGTGGCTAATGTTATTGGTGCCAGCAATGATGAAGATGGTGTGGCCTCTGCTATTTACCAGTATGCATTCTGAGGTATAAGGTCTAGTTTGAAAAATTCGAACAAAGGTCACATGGCGAAAGATACATGGTGCTGGATGCAATCTGGCCATTTTGACAGTATTTATTTCTCGTTATAGATGAAAGATGGGCTTCATAAATGAAAATAGAAACTTGTCAACTTCTTTCCCTATTGAATGAGTTAACAGTAGGTAATCATTCAGTGCTAGCTCCTCTGAAGCAAGGTCTTCGAGACGGTGGTGCAAATAAAGCGACCTTCTTTTCTCATAGTGATTGATCTCAATGATTTGAACTTCATGGATTTTTTTAGGTAGCTTTGTATCCAGAAATAGTTTCACTCTTTTTTTTTTTTGGGACGAGGAGTGTGACTTCAGGCATGCCCACACCCAGAGCCTCAATGTTTATGCGATATTCTTTTCCATATGAGATTTTATGTACCTGCTACTTCATGTATCTGTTTGGATAATTCAGAAATGGACCAATGATACTGAACTTTTTGCATTCTTTGGCCGTGAATTGATTGGATCCTTCATTTCCATTATTTCATAGTAACAACTCAATCTTATTGGTGCTGAAGATCTCCGAACGTCGCTTCCATTGATGCAAGTCATTACTTTAAAATGAATGCTTGTTTCAACCCCAGGCACGTGTAGAGTAATTCTGTCATTCTAATAAACCACATTACTTTTGCATTTTAATTAAGTGTGAGAAAATCATTTTTTTCCCCTTTTATAGCGGGGTCTCAAGCAATTCTCACCTAAAAAGCTGAAAATTAGATTTAATAGAAACTTAATTTAAAGGTAATTTTATGTTTAAAAACAAAAATATTATAAAAAAGATTTGGATATAAAAATAATCTTATATATAAAATCCTTAAATATATAAATATTGCTATTAAATTAAGAATATGTTTGGTATTGTGATAACTAGTATGATTATGGTTTAAATTTTTTTTATAAAAAGTATTTTTAGATGAGGTTGGTTTGGAAAAATAGGTGTTTGGTTAAAATTATGATTGAAATTGAGGTTGAACAAAAAGTAATTTAATGTGTTTGGTTAAGAATGTTTTTCAAATTAAGGTTATAAAATAACTAAAAAAACATATTAATATCGATGATTTTTAATTTAAATATTGTACATTTAATTATTGCTATTACATCATGAAATAAATATACAAAAAAAATATATTTTACTATAATTTACTTGTTAATTATTACTTAACTATAAAAAGAAGAACAATTAAATTCATACATTTGTTTCATTCTACTTTATCATTTAATAAATTGGTCTTTTTTGCTCGCATCAAACGCACATAATGTGAGTCTGTTAAAATGTAAACACTTTAAATTTTTAGACACAATTTATAGCTTTTTTATTAATACATATGTTCCTTGAACTACAAAAATTGTTTTGGTATGTAGAAGCCTACATTGAATTTATAGAAAGTGAATTTTGATAGTGTTGCTTATATATACTTTTTATTGTTTGCATACATCATCTTTTTACATATATTGAAGGTTCAATTCTTTGATAAAAGAATACAAATATGAGGGAAGAAATCTTCTATTTTGTTTCTTGCTAAAATATATCTTCTTCTTAGTGAGCAAGTGTCTTTTGTAGACAAGGACTTATAGTGTAAAGCAACCTTGCTTGCTCATTTTTATTTCAGGAGAGGGTTCCTGGTTTACTTTGATTTTGAATATTTAAATGTTGATATAAATTTCACAATGCATATTGTTATATGTCTTTTCAACAATAAAAAATACAAGTAAAAATACAGAACGCTTGATGAGAAGTATGAAAAAATTGCTTCACCAAAAACTAAGGTTAAACCTTATTTATTAGTGGGTCCTATGAACCAAACCACAACTTTATTTTATAACCAAACACCATATTATTGAGGTTGAACAAAAACGTAATAGCTACTGCAAAGATAAATGATGTCTAAGTAATTTTTGATAAGTTAGTTTATAATTTTTGTTCCTGCAAAAAAATGTTGTTTTGTCACAACCAAATAAGAAAAAACTCATGTTTATTTTTCAACTTTTTGTCTAAATTTGTAGCTAAAAAAATAATAATATAATCTCTTCTAATTAACTAACTCCAATGGCCCCTTTTAGATCACAAGCTAATAAGCTTAAATTAGTTATTAATTAACATAAGTTCAATAATGAAATAAACCATTAAATAATGTCTAACAAGTTAGAACAAACCTAAATTAAAAATATTTATTTAACATTAAATAGATAAAAAAATAGAATAATAAATAGATAAAAAAATAGAATAATAAAAACAAATTCTTCATCCTAAAATTCTTTTATATAGCCAAAATCTTCAATTTTCGCACATTCTTGGTAGATTTTAGTCCTAACTTCAATCACATCATTCTCTCTCGTCTATATGAATTACTAGGCCTAATATATATGGTTGGAAAGCTTGAGATGTCTAGCTTCCAGCCAAATTGAATAGTAGAAAAATTCTACCTGTAGCTCCATATATGTCCCAAATAGTAAATGTAGGTCTAGTTTGGTAGATTTGACAAGATTTGTTTAATACCTTCGACCCTTTGAAATAATATGTTTCCAAACTCTATTTGACCTGAAACTTTACCATAATATAGTTTCATGTGTCTAGTATCTCTTTATAAAATATCAACTTGACCTAATATATGGTTTGAGAGATATGCTTGATATTGCAAAACTACTCAGCAAAACTTTTAAGGTTAAATTTAGACATGACTTGGTTCATACCATCCTCCCCTTTTTTTAAAAAAATTGACCTCAAATCTGGATCATGAAATTTTTTTTTAAAGTTAACAAATTAATACCACTTGGAGAATAACATCATTATCAAAACTAAGAAGAGCCTTGTTAGCAAAAAAGGTTTGCTTGATATACAAGTTCTTATTTTCAGCCATCTTCCTCTTTTTCAATTTCAGTTGCTCCTCGTATATTTTATTAGGTTTCAAAGATGCAAGAGTTATAGGTTTTCCATTCATCTCAAATGAATATCTATTTCCCACTCCATTATTTATAGCTCTCCTATCATACTGTTATGGTCTACCAAGAAACAAATGACTAACTTGCATTGACACAACATTACATAACACTTCATCATAATATTTACCAAGATAAAAAAACAACTAAAACCTGTTTATTCACTTTCACTTTATCACTATCATTCAACCATTGCACTTTATAAGGTATGAGATGTTTGGTTGTGTGCAAGTTCAACTTTTACACAGTACTTGCTGCATTAATGCAATTGCCACTATCTTTTATGAAGTTACATTTCTTATTCTGAACATGACATCTCGTGTGGAATATGTTCTCTATTTGACCTTCAGAAACATTTATATTGACAAGTAGTTCAATGCTCTCTTCACCACAAGTATCTTTTCATTAACTAGATACTCAATATAAATATCATTAACATCTTCCAATGGTGACATCTTCTTCTCTTTATCCTCCCCATCAATCTCAACTTCATTATTAGCTTTCATAACCATGAATTTTTTATTTGGAAATTAATGTTACGGTTATGACAAGTAAGAGTAACATTATTATCTTAAAAAACAACCGGGGTGTCTTTCTTCTCTCTAGGGCATCTAGCCATATCCTCTTCATTTGGTTGTGATGGATCACCCTTGGTGTTAGCCTTTCAATTAGGTTTCTAAGGTGTCAAAAGGCCTAATGGTTGGATTTGCTAAATGATAAACTTCCATTTATGCGGTTTCTCCACCTTCACGAACAAGTACACCATCTTTTCTAACTCTATATTATGGTCTTAGTACCTATAATTATCCCTATGACTAAAATTATCACCATATCTTTCCCCTCCAAATTGAAGATTCTGCTGCTGTCCAAAACATTTTCAAAATCAACATCATTCATGTTCGTATTATCAGCCGCAAACTTATCCATATCAGTGTTAAATCACATAAAAGCACTCTTAACATTAAATTCTCTTTGCTCAGGCCTATTTTGAACCCCCACCATGATTATCGTCATGTTCCTCTCAACCTATTCAACTTATCTCTAAATGCATTACCCATCCAATCCATCTATTGATTCATAGTTCCTATAACAAATGAACTCTAAATAACGTAAAATTTTATATGAGATACAACTAGAACCTTAAAACCTAGAATATAAAATCTGAGGAATTTCTAAACTTATTTGACTTGAAATTACCTTCCAGTACGAATCTGACTTGTCATGATAAATTTTAATCTCGACCTTGGTTACCATAACAAGTGATCTCTAAATGAGCTCAAATTTTATATGGTTGCAATTAGGACTCATAGCAAATTTTATATGGTTGCAATTAGGACTCAGCAATTAGGACTCATAAAACCAGTATATCAAATTCAAGAATTTTATTAATTGGTTTGGTTTAGATTATCCCTTGTTTGTGTATTGTTGCAGATTCAACAAAAGTGACTTTTGGATGTTCTTTTCCTTTTTTTTACTCTTTATACTAATGATATATTCTGAGACAACAACAAACTAAAATAAAATATTTTTTAAGGAATCTTAGATGTAAAATACTAAGCTCTAGACATGAAATTGAAAATCGAATCAAAGACAACTCAATCTAAAGAAGCCGAATATAATAATAAGAAAATAAATGATATAACTTGATTTTGAAGTCTAGATCTGATATCAACTGATTTAGACCTTTTGATTACATGGCCAAGCAACCCTTAACGAAGTAGATAATAGCTCGAAAAGCTAAAAAGTAGGTTTGACATAACCCTGACCTAGAGGTAGCCTTATACATAAAAACCAAAGGTATTAGAAAAAGACTTGGATCCCAAGATAATATTTTATCTAAGAACCCTAAGTATACGAATGATACTATAAAGACAGTGTATAATCTTTTTCCTTACAAAGAAATGTTGTTTTTCCATAAAAGAAACTCACATTTATTCTTCAACTTGCTGCCCAAATTTGCAGCTAAAAAACACATAATATAGTCTCCTCTAACTAGCCCTAGTGGATCCCTTTTGAGTTGCAAGTTAATGAGCCTAAACTAGTAATCAACTAATATAAACCCAATAATGAAATAAACCCCAAAACAATGTCTAATTGGTCAAAATAAACCCAAATTTAAAATATTCATTAAAAGATAAAAAAATAAAAAAAAGATAATAAAAATAAACTCTTCATGCTAAAATTCCTCTATGTGGCCCGAATCTTCACTTTTCGCACATATAACAAATATCAGTCCTGATTTTAAACACATCGTTCACTGTTGTCTGTATGAATTATTGAGCCTACTATATGTGGAAAGTTTGAGATATCTAGTTTCTAGCTGAAGCTGGATAGAAGCAAAACTATAGTTGTAGCTCTAAATATATCCCAAACAGTACATAGAGGTCTAGTTTAATAGATTTGACAAGATTCATCTAGTAGTTTCGATCCTTTGAAATAATATATTACCGAACTCTATTTGACTTGAAATATTTTCATAATATATTTCTCTATGTTTAGTATCTCTTTGTAAAA